CCCCTCTGGTGCCCTCCCAGCCCCTCTTCCATGCCCTTGGCACCCCTGCTTAGCCCAGCTTTGATGCCCTTGCCGGCCCCCCAGCCCCTCTTTGACACTCTTTGCACCCCCAAGCGCTGTTTCAGTGCCCGGTACACTCCCAGAGCCCCAGTTCGACGCCTTTTGCACCCTCTGGGCCCCACTTTGCCACCGTTCACGCCGCACCCCCTCCCCGGTGCCCTTGGCCCGGAGCTGCCGCCGTGGGACGGTGCTTTACGTAAGGTGGGAGCCACATGCGGCTCCTCGGCCGTGTCTCGTGGGCTTTCCTCCCTTCCCTCCTCCCTTCCCTCCTCCCAGCTGCTTTTTATAGCCTCCACTCACTTCCCTGGCGTCTCAGTTCTAATTTTTTTTTTCTTTTTTTTTTTCTCCTCCGACTTGTTTTTTATATAACTCGTTCTTCCCGGAGCCTCGTGGCAGGAGGCAGTGGGACCGGCGACGCAGCTGATTCCCGGGGGGCTGAGGAATTCTGTTCCCTGCTTAAACCCCAGCCTGGGATGAGCTGCGGAGGAGATGGGGCTCCGTGAGCTCCAGCTGGGATCCCTGCCCCAAATTGCCCCTCAAACATCGCCCCAAGCCCTTTTCAAACATGATTTTCTTTTCACGCCCCAAAAATGGAGCTTTTGGGGCTGCCAGGGCTTAGCCCTCTGCTTCCCTCCCTGCTGAAGGTGTCGTTGCCAGTGCCACATGCCTGGTGTTTCCCATCCCACCCTTGCCAAACTTTTTTCCCAAGGGAAAAATACATCAGAACATATCTATCAGCAAGGCTGGGCTGGCAGAGACACTCCCATGCTGTTATTAGAGGAATTTATACCAAAACCTGTGTCCAAATCTATGTAACACAAGATGTAACACACTCTCTGTGCTTTGGGAGATGAATTCTCTCCTGGGGACTTCAAATCCTGTTGCTTCCTCATCTCTGGGGTGATGTTAACCACTTACAGCTGTCCAGGAAGCTGTAAATTGAGCGGATTCTCATATAATCTGTGTTTAAGAGGGAATATTTGAGAGGCTGTTTTCTTCTTGGAGCTGATGTTTGCCCTGTCTGGTGATTCCAGGGGGGATGCTCAGCTTTGCCTCCTACTACGGCGACCACATGGTGCTGCAGAGGGAGCCGGCGGGGGCCGTGGTGTGGGGCCATGGGGAGCCGGGGGCTGTGGTGACCGTGACTCTCTCGGGGGCTCAGGGCCTCGTCATCACGAAGAAAACAGCACAGGTTAAAGGTCAGTCCCGGCCCCTCACCAAGGACTGGGGGCCGTTGGTTGTGGTGGCCGAGGAGCTCGTCCGAGCCCAAACCGGAGCGGCCAGTGGGGTTTGTCACCACTCTGGGTTTGTCTTCTGGGGGTGCAGAGGCGATGGTGACTTCTCCACATCATGCTTTCCCCTCTGCAGGAGATCTGGGGGGGTTCAGCCGTCCCTGCCAGCGCCAGCCTTTGCTCACTTTGGTTCCCAGCAGCGGATCCCGTGGGCGCCCAGCGGGAGCCGAGCTGCCGCTGGAGTGGGTGGCACCGCACAGGCTGGAGCCGAGCGGCGAGGCTGCCGAGGGGAGAGGGGGATCCAGCTCCTCTCCCCATCAAAACCATCTCTGGGGAATCTCCGGAGCGCTCCTGGCTTCTTTTTCTATCTGTGCCCCCTTGGGATCTCTAAGCCCTGAAGGATGTCGCCCGTGCAGGCAGAGACTTCCTGGGGGCTGAGAGGGCTCAGGAGCACCTCAAATCCCAGCTGCTTCCCTGCTTAGAGAGTTGGGGGGCTGCTCATCACCTTTGAGGGGGCAAAACTGCTGCCCAAGGGCACCTCCACAAGCTGGAGAGCCTGGAGATGTCTTATGGGAGAGCAGTGATTCCAGGAGGTCTGCAGGATCTGGCCCAAAAATCCATGCTAAGCTCCAGCAGAATATCTTCATGCCTCAATTCGGCACCTCTAAAATTAGCCAGAGACATCTCGGTGTCACACACACCAAGCTGCTCCTGTAGTCCCGGTTCCTCCCAGCAGCTTCTGCTCTGACACACATTTGTTTTCTGGATTTTCTTTTTTAACCCCTTAATTCCTCCAGGAGGAAAGACCCTCTGATGGCAGAGAGCTTCCAAAATCCATTTCCCCAGCCTAGCTTTGTGGTGGGGAAGCTTGTCCATCCCCACTGGTTGTTGGCCGCTCATCCAATATCCCTGTGAAGGTCTTGAGATCTTTATAGGGCTGGTAGAAGTTAAGCACCATCCTCTTCCTTCAGGACCTTCTGGGACATGGACAACTGTCCTGGACCCGATGGATCAGGGTGGTCCCTATGCGCTGACAGCCGAGCAGGGCTCAGAGAACGTGACACTGCGGGACATCTACTTTGGGGACGTGTGGCTTTGCAGTGGGCAGAGCAACATGGCAATGACAGTCCTGCAGGTAAGGCCCCACAGCATGGATCAGGCAGGATCAGGTAGGGATCAGGTAGGGAAGCACCTGGCACGCTCCCTCCCCTTCCCCAGGTGGCCAACGCCAGCCAAGAGCTCGCCGCCGCCGCTCGCTATCCCCACGTCCGCATCTTTGCCGCGGCGCCCGCCCGCTCCGACGTGGAGCTGGAGGACCTGGAGCAGATTGCCTTGCCATGGTCCATCCCCACGGCTGGTGAGTGCAATGTGCCTCCAAAAGAAAGCCTGGAAACAGCTTTCCCCCCCCTTTTTCCCCTTGCAGCCCACTGTTTCTTGAGCAGAAAACCTGGGCCACGGGAATTTCACCTACTTCTCGGCCGTGTGCTGGCTGTTGGGGCGCTCCCTGTACGAGGCTCTGGGGTCCCCTGTCGGGCTGGTGGAGGCGGCCTGGGGGGGAACACCCATCGAGGCCTGGTCCTCCCGCCAGGCTCTGCAGGCGTGTGGGCTCCCGGAGGACACGGGGAGGTGAGAGAAGGTGCTATGGAAACACCTCTTGCCCTGCTCCGCACTGCTTTTGGGGAGTATCTGCGTCCCTTCCCACCCCACCTCCTCTCCTGCTGTCCCCTCTGTGCGTCGTTTGTCCCCCTCTGGATAAAATCTCCTCCCATGCCAAGAGCATAGGGCAAATCTAGGTGGGTGGAGGGGGAAGATGAGGCCCCCAGAGCTCCCCTTTGGCACGGTGCTTGCTTTAACCGTGCAGGGTTAAGCCCCCCTTGTGCTTTGGAATCCCTTTAAGCTCAGCTCTGTCTTCCAGCACCTCCCCACACTGGCATGTCTCCGGCCCACAAACGCCATCCGTGCTCTGGAACGCCATGATCCACCCGCTGCTCAACATGACCCTGCGGGGCATCGCTTGGTACCAGGGTGAGCCTGTTTCCATCCCCCTGGGGTGGAGCAGCCCCCGCTGTCCCACGGGGCTCTCACTGACCCTTCTCTCTGTGGGACAGGTGAGGCCAACGCCTTCCTGCACACGGACCGGTACAACTGCACCTTCCCCACGCTCATCGCCGACTGGCGCCGCGCTTTCCACGCTGGATCAGCCGGACAGACGGAGCCACTCCTCCCCTTTGGCTTCGTGCAGGTTGGGGGCGTGAGAGGCAGGACCCCCATGGGGTTGCCCAGGAAGGTTTTACCCACCCTTTCCCCCACTGGAGGCCACATCCAAGCTGGCAGCAGGGAGAGGATGCTGTAAACACACGGGCAGGTCCTGCTGGGTGCTGAATCCCGGGCAGGGGCCAGAATGGCCATTTTTGGGAGTGATGGCTAAGCCACTCCCCCGTTCTTCCCCTGCCTTCCAGCTGTCCACCTACCGCCGTGAGAGCCCCGACGACAGCTTTGCCCGGCTCCGCTGGCACCAAACAGCCGACCTGGGGGTTGTTCCCAATGCCAGGATGCCCGGCACCTTCATGGCCGTAGCCATGGATCTGGGTGATGAGCACTCTCCCTACGGCAGGCGAGTCCCGGGCCGGGGTGAGGGTGTAGGGATGAAGCTTTTGGGTACCAACCCCATCTCCTTCCTCTTCCTTGGCAGCATCCACCCTCGGGACAAGCAGAACGTGGCACACCGGCTGCTGCTGGGCGCCAGGGCTGTGGCGTACGGGGACAAAGACCTGGTTTTCCAGGGGCCATATCCCACCCGGGCCGTCCTGGAGGTGACCAGGGGGCTGCTGAACGTCACCTACAGCCAGGAGCTCATCTGCCGTCAGAGGGACGCACGGTCATTCGAGGTGAGGGGTGGGAAATCCTCCCCGAGGGGCTGGGAGAGGGGAAGGCCACGCTGATGAGGGTTTCTCCCCTCCCCAGGTGTGCTGCTCCAGCCAGGCGTCCCTGTGCCGGTGGCTGCCGGCACCGGTGGTGGCCGTGGGGTCCCGCACGGTGACACTGGCCCTGGGTGGCTGTGGGACGCTGGTGCTGGGCCTGCGCTATGCCTGGGCCGAGTGGCCCTGTGAGTACCAGTCCTGCCCCCTCTACAACCCCCAGGGGCTGCCTGCACCCCCCTTCCTGCTGGACACCCTCCCCACAGGCAGCACCGACGGAGGGAGGGAGCTGCTTCTCCTCCCTGGCTCTGGGTTCTCCTGAGGGATTTAGGGGAGAGGAGGGAGCTCAGGCTTCTGGGTCCCCTTCCAATCCTGGGAGGCAATGGGCTCGATTACTGTCCTACTAATTAAACAACTTTCCAGCTCCTCTTTGGCTTCAAGCCAAGGCTGCAGGGGGAAAAAAAAAGCCAATTTACAATTAAATTTATGAAAAATGATTTTAAGAGAAGCAGTAGGACACACTGATGGGAGCCAAACCCCTCACTGCTTCTCCCTCTGCCCGTGGAGCTGGTCCTGGCTCCCCAGGACACCCCATTTCTCAGGGCATGGACTGCTCACCCCCACAGCAGGGTGCTTGTGGGATCCAGGGATCAGCTTCCAGCTGCAGGGTAGAGGGAGGGAGAGGAGCTCTGCCAAAAACCCACAGCCAAAGACTAAGGCTGGGCTAGGAAAGGGAGCTGTGAAGGGTGTGAGTGCCTTCCACCTCCCTCTGTTAATAAACAATAAATAGTAAATAGTTAATAAACCAGCTTATTTTATTCCTGGATCCTTTTTTCCTTCAGAGGAGTACCCTTTATTCCTCCATCCTCCCCCTCCTGCTGTAACAGCACGGAAATTTGTGTGGAAGAGGCACATTGTGGCACCCAGTGCTTGGAATAAGAGAACCCAAGAGGTTCTGTACAAAACATTGATTGTTTAACCCTCTTTTTCTGGAAAAACATACATAAGAAGGGAAAGCCCAGTTGCAGGAAAAGCAGGTGGGCTCAGCCCAGCTGCCACATCACAGCTGTGTTAGAACCAGGGTAATGCACTCAAGTGATGCTGGAAAGAAGGATGTGGATCAAAGTGGATCCTGGGATCGCAGGATCCCTGCCTGCTCCTGGATCAGGCAGAGCCGAGTGAGTCCCGGGAGGGTTTTCCCATCGTTTCCACTCCAGGCTTCGGTCCTAGACAGGGCAGGAAGAGCAGGCAGTTATTTAACAGGGCGATGGCACAATGGGAGCTGGGCTTTCTCCAGCAGCGTGTGACTGGCCCATGAGCCAGGTGTGCTGGCCCTGTGGTTGCCATGGCAACGAGGATGTGAAATCCAGCTCAGTCTGGGTGGTTTTTTTAAACCACAGCTCAGACTGTGTGTTCAGGGCCAGGAACAGAGCCCAGGCCTCCCAGCTCCTGCCTGCAGGGATGGGCTGCCTTACACAGCCTGGAAACCACTGCCGTGGGCACTGGGGATCCCTGGAGATCCCAAAGGAGGCACCCACCTCCCCAGAACCCAAAGCACATGGGAGAGGGAGCGGTGCAAGCCCCAGGGATGTGGCTCTCCCTTGGAGCCTGGCTCCCTCTCCACACACAGCCCCACTGTGCCCACCAGTGCCATGCAAACAGGAGAAGGGAGCAGGCATGGCATCCTTGGTATCAGCCCCCCAGGATTTAAAGCTCCCAATCCCACTCCAGCAGGCTGAGCTGCCAAAAACAGGGACCCTCGTGGCCCTGCAGTTTGCCCAGAGCTTGGATTTAAGTGGCAAGCTCTCTGCTTGCTGTTCCTATAGCAACTCCTGCCCACGCCTGAGATTGCAGTAACGTTACATCCCAGCTGCCAGAACCCTCTCCCAGAGCTGTCAGCCCTCACGGTGACCCCCAACAGCCCCCCAACTACCCCCCAAACACCTCAATGTCTTGGCAAAGGGTTTAGGGCAGCAGTGGACGGATCCAGCCCCATTCCCGAGGTGGGATCTGGCAGTGTAGGAACTAAGAGGAAGAGGGAAGTTGTCTCTACCCAAAGAGCCTACCTAGGGCCGTGCCATTGGAGAGGGCTGTGCCACCCTCAGCCTCAGGGGTGCAAGCGTGGTGCTTGGGCTTGGTGGTCTCCAGCCCGGCCAGCAGCGTCATGAAGTCGATGACGGTGTCGATGTCCTCCTTGTTGGCCGTGGTTTCCCTCAGGGCGCTGACGGCGTTGAGGCGGCCAAAGGAGGTCAGCTCGGAGATGTTGGCGCGGAGGAAGAGGAGGATGACGTTGAGGTCGTTGAGGGGGCAGGTGAGCATCCTGCGGCTGAGCAGGTCGAAGGCAGGCAGCATCTCGTAGACGGAGAGCAGCCCCTTGTCCCACTGGCAGAGCTGCAGGGCGTTGTAGATGACGACGGGGATAAGGAGGATGTAGACGCTGCCGACTGAGAGGCTGATGAGCTGGAAGATGGAGAAGAAGACCAACTTGCAGGGGATGAGTGGGGGGATGTGGGGCTCTGCCTGGAGCAGCCCTGTTTTGATGGAGCAGCTGAACTCATCCTGGAAGAAGATGTTGAGGTGGAGGAAGACCAGGTAGAGGCAGGTGGCAGCCAGGAACAGGAGCAGCAGCAGGTTCCTTAGGATGTAGATGAACGTCAGGGTGTGGGCGTGCTGCTTGCAGGTCAGGTACCGCTCCAGCAATGGGAACTCAAAATACCTCTCCCGGCGGGCCCTGGAGGCAGAGGGACACAGTGGGAGTGAGAGCCACCCCCCAAACCTCACTGCTTCACCCAAGTCCATCCTGGAACAGCCACAGCCACAACACCCCGAGGAGGGACTCCAAGGGCCGCGGTGACCCAGCAGGGCCTCACCTCTCGTACTCCTCCCAGAATTGCTCTGGCTCGTCACTGGCCTGCTGGACCTTCCTCATGTGCTGCACCAGGCGCACCGAGCGGTTGTAGGATTTATCCAGCTCGTCGATGATGAAGAGCAGGTCGGAGTGCAGGGCGGGGGCGGCGGCGTAACGCCACAGCAGGTACGGCAGGTACATCAGCACCGCCACCACCAGCAGCGAGTAGGGGAAGACCTGGGCAAAGGGGACGAGAGGGCGTTGAGGGTGCGGAGTGTGCACCCAGGTGGCATTTGGGGGCACCCAGACGTGACTTTGACCCTACCTTGAGAGCCCAGAGGGACTTGGTGACAGCGTGTCCCTCGGCGTCGAAGCCGTGGTGGATGAGGGAGTCCCAGCAAGCTGTGTCGGCGTAGGCAGACTGCTTCCCCGTGAAGTTGGTGGGAGAGAAGCAGCTGATCTGGGAGCCTGGGGTGAGGAGGAGGAGGAGGAGGGGAGTGAACCTCAGCCATGGAGGGTGGAGGAGCATTCCACAGCCAGGAGGGTGATTACATCTAAGGCATCACTTTGAATTAAAAAAAGCCTTTTTCATGGTCATTTTGGAGCTGCTTTTCCTCACTGCTGCATTTCCAGCAAGGACTTTTCCATCTCTTCCCAAACACAAACCCTTTGTGCACAGTGGTGTGTACACAGTGCCGGGAATTAGAGACCAGCCAGACTGGAGTAAAACCAAATCCCCAGGGGAAGCAGCAGAATGTTGGCCGAGGCCAGATTTAGCCATGACACACCATCAATGCATCCCCCTGTGCTGCCAGCACCCTCCTCCTAAACAACCCCACGGCACCCGAAGGTGCTGGGCACGAGCAGCTGAGGCTGGGCATCGATTCAGCGCTGCTCCTGGGGCACATGAACAGCCTAGCATGGCTGTTCCCGGGCTTTCCCAGTGAACAGTGATCCATTAAAAACAATCAATAAACACCCATGACGCAGAACAGCCCCTAAAACAGGACTTCCAGTCTGCTCCGCCTTGGATCACGACATCAGCACGAACACGAGGGGTTTGCCGTGACAACCAAACCCCTGCCAGCGACTGCCCTCAGCCCAAAGATCCCTTTGGAAAAGGGATGTCCAAAACATGCGACTCACCGGCAGAGAACTCCCGGGCAAAAGCCAGCGAGACAAGGCAGAGGGGCAGCCCCACAGTGACAAACTTCAGCAGGCGATCGCTCGGCAGCTCCAGCCGCAGGCCCTTGGCTCGGGCACTGCCGGGATCCGGGAGCAGGGCGTCGGAGAGCATGTACTCGGCAGCCGTGTGCGAGAGGGACATTTTGAAGCGAGGAAGAGGAGACGCTGGCAAGTGCTGCTGGTGCCTGGCAGCTCTGGTGTCACCTGAGGTGTGACCGGCTCAGGAGGGAGCTGGCCGAGCTGAGGAGTCCCTGCCGAGCGCTGCGTCCGATGGCTGCGAAGGACAGCTCAGACAGGGCGTTAAATCGCCCCGTAATTACAGGGGAAGCCTTTTCACAAATAGAAATAGAAAATCCCACCCCAGCAGCCACGGCAGCGGGCTGGGGAGGCAGAGTTCCTCCTCGACAGCATTCCTCCCCGGCAGGGTTCCCGCCCGGCTGTGGCCGTTCCCGGCTCCCCGCGGTTTTACACCACTCTCTCATCAGCCGAGGGATTTCTGGCGCCGTGGCCCAAGGGCACGGGGGTGCCTGGCTATTTTCAGTGGGAAGGCAGGGGACAGGGCACTCCCCCAGGGAGAAGCCCCAGATACACACTGGCCTGTGGGGTACAAAGAATCCTTTCCAGCACCCAAACCAGCTAGAGGGGACCTGCTGCCCCGCCTTAAGGTCCTGGCACAGGCCAGGAGTCACAAAACGAGTTTTGAGGCAGAACATCAGCTGCAATTCCCCAGATTGTCAATCCCTCCTCTCGCCTCCCTCTCGAGGCACAGGGGGAGGAATCTGGCTCCAAGAAAAGCTCCCAAGGGCAAGAGATCCCAATAAGAGGATCTACAAACAAGGGATGGGGTAACTGGAAGGGGCGGTGGGACGGAGCAGTTTCTCCCAGGAGCACAGTCAGTGCCCAGAAATCCATGCTAACACTGCTGGCAGCACAGAGCAGGGGCAGTCCTGGAGCTGCTCAGCCCAGCCAAGCCAAGGAACTCCCCATGCAGTCTCTCAGCATAGTGAAAAAACTCCACAGTCGCTGCCAAATCGCACTTTCGATGGATTTTCCAATGAAGGGACTTTCCAAATCTGAGCTAAACAGCTCTAAAGGGAAAACTGACGGCTCCAATTCAGGAGGGGCTGCACCCAGGTGTGCTCAAACCTGCCCAGGGACTGAGTCCCACCCGGCCTGAGCACAGAGACACACAACACCTTCCCTCGAGGGAACCGGAGCTTTTATTGCTCGGAGACAAGTCCAAAACATGGATCAGGCAGAGCCCAATGTCCATCCAGCCTCATTTGTCTAGAGGCTCTTCAGTGTGCCCAGCTGCTTTCCTGTGCCAGAAGCACACGCAGGCACCTGTTCTGAATCCAGCAACACCAGCCTACAGACTGTAGGCTTCACCCCACTTCTGGCTCCAAGGCGGGCACAGCCACTGCCACGTGCTGGACGTGAGGAGATAACCGGCCCCACTCCTCATCAGTCCTTAGCAATGTCCAGCTCCAGCTTCTTCAGCGTTTTTTGGAAGAAGCGGGGTGGTTTGCAGACGAGGTCTATGGGCTGGCCCAAGGGCAGGCAGAGCCGGTGGGCGTGCAGGTGCAGGGGCAGGTGCCGAGCCTTGCTCTGCTGCAGCTTCAGCCTCCTCAAGGTGAGCACGGGAAGCTTCTGCAGCAAGGATGAAAACGTCCCTTCAAAACCCCAGCTCTTCAGCTGGGACATGAAATCCCCGGCCCACAGGGAGCTGGGGGACACAAGGGGCTGGATCCAGTGCAAGATCTGCCCTACCTGGGGTGCCAGCTTGCTCCAATGTGAGTATTTGTGATCCCCGAGGATGGGGCACCCCAAGCCATAAGCCAAGTGAACACGGATCTGGTGCTTCACCCCTGAGGAGAAAACAGAAAGAGGAGAAAAGTGACATCTAGCCATGCCAGGCCTCACCTCCCACCCACCATCCTCAGTGCTGGACAAGGCTATGCCAAAATTGCCGGCAGCCAGAGAACAGCTCAGCAGCAAACCATCGCCCCAGTGGGGCTTATTCCCAGGGCCTTGTCCCAGAAAGGATTCCAGTCACGTCTAACGATGAGCTGCCACTTCCCAGTGCTGCTCCTGGCCCCCTCACCGGTGATGGGCTGGAGCTCCAGCAGCGAGCAGGCGGAGGCGCCGGCCAGCCGGCGGTACCGCGTCACCGCGCTCTCGGCGCTCCGGTTCCTGCGGGTTTTCACCACCTTCCCATCCTCCGGACACAGGCGGTAGTTGGGAGCCAGCGTCATCTGAAGGGCAGGGAGAGGGTGAGCCAGGGGAGGCAGGAGGGAGTGCCAGGGGCAGCAGGCTGGAATGGGCTCACCTTGTAGTGCGACTGGTGGCTTTGCACCTCCTTCTCCACGATGGGGATCTCCACGATGCCCTCAGCAGGGTCTGGGTCCCCCAGGACAATTGCCCTGGGCAGGGAAAGCACAAGTCTGTGGGGTGTCACTCCTGCAGGAAGGGAGCCCTCCCCTCAGCCCTCTCCCACCACGCAGCCCTATAAAACAGTTCTGCCCCCACATCCTGAGGACTGTCCCCTCACCCCTTCCTCAAAGCCCCTTTGCAGCCCCTTCTCCACCCAAACCCTTCCTACCAGTAGATCTTCTCCACCTGACGGGTTTTGAAGAGCAGCCGGACCTTGTCCGCTGTCTCCCTGTTCCGTGCCAGCACCATGACACCCGTGGTCTCCTTGTCCAGCCGGTGGCAGAGGTGGAGGGGCTCAGCTCTCATGTTCTCCAGCATCTTGGCCAAAATGGGCAGCACGTCAGCGATGCAGTTCTTGATGCCAGGGCCGCCTGTGTGACCCACAGCAGGGCAGTGAGGGGACTGGTCACCTCCCCATGCACCCTAAACCACCCCCAAGGTATCCTGGGGAGGGGAAGGCTGAGATCTGACAGTGATCAGCCCCCAGGAACCCTCCCTGGGAAGAGAAACCCCAGCACAGGGAGGACAGAGACAGAGGATCCTGTCAGCACCACAGAGCCATTTCCACTCCCCCCTCTCCCTCACCATGCACAGGGAGCCCGTAGGGTTTGTTGATCACCACGATCTCCTCGTTCTGGTACACAGTTTCCTGCTTGAGGATCTTGGCCAGGACGTTGGGGTGAACCCGCTGCAGCTGCTGGCTCAGCGCGGTGAGCTCCCGGAGCTGTCGCTGTGCTGGATCCTTGGGGATCTGAGGAGAGAACAAGACACTCAGCAGGGGAAAAACAACTCTTGGCTTTCACACAGAGCTCCAGTGGGACCTCTAGCAACTCACTCGCCTTCTGTGTGCGCCTGTGTCATGCCTGAGGGACAGGGTGGCATCCAGAGGGATCTGGACGAGCTCGAGCAGTGGCCCATGGGAACCTCATGGGGTTAAACAAGACCAAGTGCTGGTGCTGCTCCTGGGTTGGGGCAACTCCTGGGATTGATCCAGGCTGCGATGAAGGGATGGAGAGCAGCTCTGGGGGGAACGACTTGGGAGTGCTGGTGGGTGAGGCTGGACATGCCCTGTCCATGTGCCCTGGGCTGATTCCACAGCGTGGGCAGCAGGGCAGGGGGGGATTCTGCCTCTCTGTCCCCTCAGGTGAGACCCCCCTGCAGAGCTGCCTCCAGCCCTGGGATCACAGCACAGGAATAACATGGAGCTGCTGGAGCGAGTCCAGGAGGCCACAGAGATGGTCCAAGGGCTGGAGCCCCTCTGCTCTGGAGCCAGGGTGGGAGAGCTGGGGGGGTTCACCTGGAAAACGGGAGAGTCCAGGGAGACCTGAGAGTCCCTTCCAGTGCCTAAAGGGGCTCCAGGAGAGCTGGAGAGGGACTTTGGACAAGGGCCTCGAGGGACAGGACAAGGGGGAATGGCTTCCCACTGCCAGAGGGCAGGGAGAGATGGGATATTGGGAAGGAATTCCTGGCTGTAAGGGTGGTGAGGCCCTGGCACAGGTTGTCCAGAGAAGCTGTGGCTGCCCCATCCCTGGAAGTGTCCAAGGCCAGGCTAGACAGGCTTGGAACAACCTGGTCTAGCGGAAGGTGTTCCTGCCCACAGCAGGCGGTGGGATGAGATGGTCTTTAAGGTCCTTTCCCCCGCTCCATCCCGGGACGCACCGCCCGAGCCCGCTCCCGGGACGGCCCGCGCGGGGCACGCCGGGAGTTGTAGTCCAGTCCCTAAGGCCCA